GGGGTCTCTTTTTGGTTTATTTGTTTTTTGTTTGTTTGTTTGTTTGTTTGTTTTTTGCAGTCCCAGATTAAGTATTATTGATATTTCTCTGCAAAACCCTTTCTCTAGATTAGGTGCCTCTGCTATGTGTTTCCATAATACTTCCTTTATCCTAACATTTACTGAGCTTGTTTCATTGTTCATCCTTTATGTTTCTTCCATTTTCCTTCCTTTGACAGTATCTGTCTCTGTTTTGATTACTGTTGTAGTCCTGTATCTGACACAAAGTTTCTGATGTACTAGGTATCCAATAAATGTTTGTTCCAAGAAGAAGAGTATTTTCTATTTTTATTGTTTTTGGTATAAACAATCAACATTTTTTTTTTAAGAGGTTTTTGTTATAGGGTGCATGCTTTCACTGGAGAGACAGAGACTGGGAGATAGAAAGCAAGAAATCACCCCCCAGAGGGGATGGCCACACCACAATCCCTTGTCTATTCTCCTCTCGGGATTTTGGGCATGCACACACACGAGCCCCTCGTGACTTGCAAGCTGGTTGGTCTGGGGCTCAAACCATAGTTGTCCATGTCGAAGTCCAGCAACTTAACTATTACACTGTTTGCTGGTCCCAGCAGTCAACATTCTTTTTTTTTTTTGAGAGAGATTTTTGCTATAGGGTGTGTATGTTTGCCAGAAAGAGAGAAAACAAGAAATCATCCCCCAGAGGGATGGCCATGCTGCGATCCCGTCTCCATTCTTTTCTCAGGATTTTGAGCATGTACACAAGCACACTTGCTTGACGTGAGTTATAAGTCCCTTGGTCCAAGACTCAAATTGCAGTCAACTACGTGGGATTCGAGCATTTTTGCCACCATGCCACCTGCTGGACCCCTTATAGCTCTTTTCTAAAAGAACTTTTATACATTAAGGATATACTTACTAAAAATATTTTCGTATTTCTCTTTTAATTTTGCTTGTATTTACAAATACATAAAATGTTTTTGTAGATTACTTAACATTTTTCTGTATGGCTTCTGTAATTTTGTCACGGTGAAAATAAAGTACTTTTCTGCTGAAAATACTGTTTTAGGTCCAGCTAGTGGCAGCTGGATGCCACATGGCCAACTGGGCAGTTTGTGTCCCAGACCTGGCAGCTTGAAAAATGCATTGGGTGTGTGTGCATGCATGACCAAAAGTCTCGAGAGGACGATGGAGAAGGGATTGTAGCGTGGCCATCTCCCTTAAGGGATGATTTCTTACTTTCCCTTTCTCTCTGTCTCTGTTGAGTGTACATACCCTATAGCAAACTTTAAAAAGTTTTCTTCTGGGGACCAACAGATGGCATAATGGTTACATCTCTGGACTCCTACATAATCAGCCACAGTTTGAGTATCGGTCCCAGCAGCTTAAAACACATGCCAGCAGGACCAGCAGTTAGCATAATGACTATGTCACTGAACTCCCATGTAGTCGACCATGGTTCGAGTCCTGGACCTGGTGGCTTAAACTCACGCTGGGTGCGTGTGCATGCGTACCCAAGATCCTGAGAGGAGAATGGAGAAGAAGGGATTGCGGTGTGGCCATCCCCCCAGGGGGTGATTTCTCACTTTCTGTCTCTCTGTCTCTCTCTTTCTGGCAAGCGCACATGCCCTATAGCAAAAACCTACACACACACACGCAAAAAAACTCATGCCAGCAATGTGTGTGTGCTTGCCCAAAATCCCAAAAGGAGAATGGAGGAGAAGAGATTATGGCATGGCCTTCCCTCCTGGGGTGGTAAGGGTGATTTCTTGCTTCCTATCTCTCTGTCTCTCTGGTGAGCATATGTGCCCTTATAGAAAAAAATCTCTAATAAAAAAGTTTTCTCCTGGTAGTTTTTATGTGTTTTTATTTGTTTAAATCTCTACCTGGAATTTCTATACCTCTAATATGACACATCTTTACATAAGATAATTTTCTTTCTTTTTTTTTTTTTTGGGGAGGTTTTTGCTGTAGGGTGTGTGCACTCACCAGAAAGACAGAGACAGAAAGACAAAAA